GCAGCGCGGAGCTCGCTTTAAGCGTGCCGAGCCGTGCGGGACCCGTTTTTGGTTGCGTTTCCACTTGGCGTAGTACCGGCTAGCGGGTCCTAATTCACAGTTTTTCTGGCCCCATAAAATCGTGGTTCTAGGGCCAGGAACAACCAGGCTGAGTCGGGCTGAGTATGCTAAACTAGAGAGAGAATCGCTGGCAAGGGAGCTACAACTACAACAAGATGAACATATTTTACCGTGATTTAATTGTAATACACGTTTCTAAATGATGCCGAAGTAACAACATACTGATACCGGTTAGTAAAAACCATGAATTAACGCTTTGACAAGTCTGCAGACAGACGGCAGGCGGAAAATCCTTTTAAAATGCGTGTTTTCTAAATGGAGCTTGGCTAAGCTAACGTTATATATGCTCCGACCGTCCACACTCACAACAACGGCCTATACAGACATAAATAAACCAGCGACTGTATTCTCCATGACACAGGCAGTCTGTGGTTTGTACTTGTTTAACTTTTGTCTAGTTTCTGAACAGATCGTATCTGTCCCCGGCTGTTTGAAGAGCAAGCATGGGAAACAAAAGACAGCATTTACCTGTTTGCATCCAGCTAGCCATGCCTTTCTGGTGTACCAGCTACGTGAGAAGCCTCGTTGATACGTTTTGTCTTTTTCCCGAGCTTGCTGCGATATATACAAATCGGGTTGGTCCGGTCCAAGGTCTTTAAGCAACAGTTTATCTCCCAAACTTCTCCTTTCGAAAGGATTGGAGATTAGCTCTTGAACGGAATTGGGCGGGGACTCCACCTGCACATGAAGCCATCCTCATCAACTACTGCCGTACTGCGTCACCCCACCGGATACGAGTCACTAGTGTCCAAACTACATTGGCGCCCGGTGATAATCAGATTTGACGACGCTGATTGGCTGAAATTATGTTTCGGCATCATAGTTTACAGATAGCAACAGTCAGCTGCTATGGCTGCTGCTGCACTGGTTGAGGGCTCCTTTCTTACCGCCCAGACGAGAGAGGGTAATGACCATAGACTGTATATATAAAGGTAATGACACATGGGCAAGGCCAGGCAGGAAACATGTGACTTATCAGTACCTTTTAGACATCGTCGTAACACAATTTTAAACGAGATTTGATTGTAGATTATACATTTTACTGATCCCAATTATATAATATTTACCTTGTTTATTAAAAAGAAAAATAAAATAAAAAAATATTTTTTTTAAAGGTGACATGTCATGCTTTTCCGGTTAGTACCCGTCCCCTTGTGTGTTATGAAGGTTTGTATGCCTGTAAACGGTGTGCAGAGTCAAAACCCTCAAAGTACACCATGTAGCGAGTAAAACTCTAACACAGAAAATATCTCCCCAAAACGCCTCGTTGGAGATACGTCACTGTCCATTTGATTCTTCCGGGTACATCATAATGTCATGTCGTCCCCGGAACGAAATGGACCAATCCATGGAGCCGTTACGTTACGTCCGCGGAGCCGTTACGTTAAGCCCCCGCTGATTGGTCCAAATTGACCAATCCACGGACTTCCTCACACACTCAGTGCAGGCAGCTCTGCTGATCTCTCCTCCCTGGCTGATAACAGACAGTTGGGATCGTGGCGAAATTCTCTCTGCAGACCCATTCTCACACCGTTTATCAACCTTTTTCTTACTCAATATCAAGCCACACTTATTGTTTTTACTTCGGCTGTGACTTTGTGTGTGCTCAGGATGAGTTTGGCTGTGTTTCGCTGTGTATCGCTAAACAAGGAAATCACACCTCCACGGAGCTCAGCGCGATTCACAACGTCCCGACTGGTCCCGACCAATCGGAGCACACTGGGCTCACAGGGAGGGGGGGGGGGGCAATAGCTGCAACGAGCCGTTTAGTGGAGAGAGTGAATACTGCTGAATACACATACTATACAGAGATGCTGTATGCGAAACCAATGTGATTTTGGAACATTGAACAATATAAATATATTCTAGTAGACCTCAACAATGGAATTATGATCAGTAGAAATGGCCATGACATGTGACCTTTAAATATATATATATTTTTTATTTTGTATGTGGGAAGAGGTGGGGCGGCGCCCCTAGCGCCCCTATGGGCCGACCGCCACTGCTGAGCAGGGAGGCCAAGGGGGCCCGGACGCAACTAAGGCAGTAATCATTTGACATATGGCATATTTACATATTTGGCATATTTACATATTTTATTAACCTTTAATTCAGATCAAGTTTCTCTCTCTATATCAGTGGTTCTCAAACTTTTTCTGTCTTTGGAGAGAAAAAAAAAGTCGGGCCCTCCCAACACAAATAGTCAGGCTCAGTGGCGGTGCCAGAGATTTATTTTGGGGGTGCTGTGGGGTAGCTTGACGTTTCATAGAGGGTGCTCAAACATTTAGGGTTTATCATTAATGTCAGGGTGCGTGGAAAAGGTAGGACCCAAAAGCAGTATTAACAAAAAGTGAGCTTTAATTTACAAAAAAAGCCAATGACAAAAGAAAACGAGACAAAGTTAGCATTACCAAAAAACGGGAGCATGAGTAAATAATCCAGGACCAAAACTTCAAGGACAAACATGGAGCGTGACATGAAGGGAAAGACAAACAATGCACCAACACTGAACACAGGAAGAGACAAGACTAAATACAGGGAGGGGTAATCACAAGACGAGAAACAGCCGGGCAGGGGAGGAGAAACACAAGGGCCACAGGTGAACACAATCAGACAACTAGACACACCAGGGAAACTAACGACAATAGGAAAAACACAGAGAGAGGGACCAGACAATACACAAGGGAGACAGGGAGAACCGAACAGCAAAATAAACCCAAACCTGGACCTACAAAACTAAAAACGTGACATAACATGCATATCGTGACAATTAATGTACCGGGCGCTACAGTGGAATGTTCTACTGCAACACTCCCCACGCATATACACAATGTACCAGCGACTGTTACAATGAAGGCTCGATAATCAGCTCACAGCATATAGATAGGTGTAAGCAGGGGTAAAGTGCTATTTTTATAGGTGGTGTGTGGACCTCACATAGGGGGGTCCGGGGGCAAGTTCCCCCGGGAAGATTTATTTTTAAATATTGAAGTTAAAAGCATCAATCTGGTGCACTTTGAGAGCAACATGAGAGATCTATGGATACATCTCTCAACACAGAACTGTAAACAGATTTACTATTTCTTTATGGATATTTTACAAATCACTCCCTTTTAAACTTTATTCTTGTTTTACTGTCATATATTATTTCATAGCTGTTTTTTATTTATTTTCTTATTTTTGTATAACTAAAATGATCATATAAACGTGTGCCTCGGAAATAATAGTTTACATTAATGGTGACCAAAACGTTTGAGACCCACTGAGATAACACTGAGAGTCCTTTAGCTCACTGAGCCTCTCAGTCTGACAGGAGAGGACTCTCCTCCACTTTGTTGTTGAAAAAACTCCTTATATCCGTTAGCATAGCTCGCTAGCACCAGAAGCTAACAACAACGATCTCCAGTACCGGTGCGCTCTCTCTTTCTCTCTCTCTCGCGCACACACAATGGCTCGTTCCGCACACACACAGCGTCGAGCTTTAATGAAACACAGAGACCCAGACGTAATAGTACTGTATCATATTATTTTCGAATCAATAATTTTTCAAAATATGATTTTTTAAATTTTTTTAATTTAAATAACCATTTTTCCTCCTGGTCTCTCGCGCGCCCCCCACTTTGAGAACCACTGCTCTATATTGTATGAGGACCTTAGCAATTTCATAACCAGTGGCCGAAAATCATCATGAACTGACCCTACAATCCTCTGACTTACCTATCACTCCAATAGAGACAGGAGACAAAAGCAACTTTCTGAAGTTGGATGAAAAAAATAAACCGGAATAATGGAAACGGACAGAATTAAGTTAAATGAAAGCTGCGAGCAGCAATGAATGGGTCTTCGATGATCCGCGCAGGTCCGCTGTTGTCCACATGTCATACGATTACACCCCATAATACTCTTAAATGTCTTGAGGGCTGCATCATTATATAACATGAGACGTTTCCGGCCGTTTGAAGCATTTACACTGAAGTTATAAGAAACCGCGTTTCATGGTGAGCATTGTGTTTCCATGGCAATGGCATTTGTGAAATCTCAAAACTGAAAAGTAGATGTCTTCACGGCTGGACTGTTAGCACAGATGGGAAGTTTGAGCACCGTTTGACAATTTGTATAGGAGTTACAGCGTTATCTTGTTTCATGGTGTACTCACCATGAAACAAGATAACGCTGTAACTCCTAATAAAACACGATGTTGTCGTAAGTCATAGGAACATTGACCAAATGGCACCAGGCCCTCAACATTGTTTCCATGACAACACATTACTATGTGTTGTCATGGCAACAATGTTGAGGGCCGGAGTGTTAACCATCCTCTGAAGCCTGGTGCCATTTGGTCAATGTTCCTATGACTTACGACAATATCGTGTTTTTTGGCGATGGATGCGTTGCCATGGAAACTGCATATGGTGAGATCTCGGATTTGGCGTAGAGCTGTTGAGGCATGGACCATGTCCATTGGAGTTACAGCGACATCGTGTTTTATGGCTTCATAGGGTTGAGGTTGGACACTGACCTTGAATTGTGAAGGTGAGTCATTGACCTCGTACCGTTAAGATTGGGCACTGACCTCACAAGGTTAAGATTAGGCATTGACCTCGAAGGGTGACCATTAATATCAATGAAACCATTTTTAACAATGAAATTAATCAAATCAAGGTGGAAAAATGCCAGGTATTCTATTATAATGCTCTAATAAAATCTCTAATAATAACTCAACAACAAGCCCTGTCAAACCCATTAGTTAGGCAGGGGTTGCTATCGCTACCAGTTTGATGAGTTGATGTTACGTCACCCAGGAGGACAGTACTGTACATCTCTTTTAAAATTGAGACACATTTCTGTCAGAAGACTGGCTGGTGAGAAGCAGTCTACAACAGGCACGGAAAGAGACATGTAAGGTATTACTGACCTGATTTTGATGATCAAATCACTGAAATATTTCCAATGTATCCTTGGTTTACATTTGCAGAAATGCATACCTTGTGTTAAAATGACTTTTGGGACTAATCAGCATCCTCCCATTTGTGTTTTTTGATTCAGGTTGATGGAAAACTACACTTACAACAGCTTTTACATCCAACTGGAGGGCTTAAAGGTCACGGAAATGTCCCTTTACCCTGTATTTTTGTTTTTGTTTTGTTCATACCTTTTTATTATGTTCGCTAATGTTGGTATTATAATCCTAGTTTTAATTGATAAGAACCTTCACCAGCCCATGTATCTCCTTTTCTGCAACCTGCCTCTGAATGACATTCTTGGAAACTCTATCATGGTTCCTCGTTTGCTTTCAGATACCCTGCGGCCTCCCTCTGAACGCCTTATCAGTTATCCAGAATGTGTGGTGCAAGCTTTTACTACACATATGTTTGGTACCACCGCTCACACTATACTCATTATAATGGCTGTTGATAGATATGTGGCTATCTGTAATCCTCTGCGCTATTCGGCCATAATGACAAACAAGATGGTGATCAAGCTGACAGTTTCTGCCTGGGGAGTAGCCTTGGTTACGGTCGGGATTCTGCTCGGTCTGACCATACGCCTGAACCGATGCAGGACTATGATCACAAATCCTTACTGTGATAATGCTGCACTGTTCAAACTGTCCTGTGAGAGTGTGTTCATTAATAATGTCTATGGCCTCACGTTCACTGTAGTTCTGTTCACATCTTCAATCGTCAGCATGGTTATCACCTACAGTAAGATCACTGTGGTCTGTCTGATGAATAAAAGCAAGTCTTTGAACAGTAAAGCCCTGAAGACCTGCAGCACTCATCTTTCTGTATATCTAATTATGATACTGAGTGGAATGCTTGTTATCCTCCTGCATCGCTTCCCTCAGTACTCAGACTACAGAAAACTAGCTGCCATTTTATACCATATCATCCCCGGCAGCCTGAACCCTATTATTTATGGAGTTCAGTCGAAAGAGATACGAACATTCGTATCACATATGTTTCAGCGTAAAAAGGTTTTACCTTCATTGTAATGTTGATACAAATAACCAAGAATATACATATGAGATGGAATATGCTTGTATGTGTTTGCTGTATGCATGTTAAATGCAAGGTCAAATAAGTACAACGTTGTGAATAGATTCCTGACCTTTTAAATAGCAACATGTCTTTGACCCCACAATGTAATGCAATGAAGCTAATAATGAAGTTACCCTTATTTATTATCTTAATGATGTAAATGCGACCTGACCACGGATAAGCGGGAGAAGATGGATGGATGGATGGATGATGTAAATGTCTTTACAGGTTTTTTGTTGGGATCACTATAACGTTTATGTACTTTATCAAATAGTTGTTTATTTTTACCAAATGATTTGTCTATAGAAGTCTCACTTATTAAACAATGAATGTGCTGTAAACACATGGTGTGTGAGGGTTACATTAATGGGGTTCAGTTTATGTGAGGGTGACTTTAAATCTGGGTGGAGATTCGCCCATTCACCAAAGTATTGACTCTGTCTGAATATTGTTTACGGATGCTTTAGCAACTAACTGTTTAACAACAAATTATCGCCATCATTTGAAACTTAATGATGGTCATCCAAATCATGTTGAACTGCCTATAAAGATGATTTGGATGGCTATTATGAAGTTACAGCTGAAGCTTATATTACCTCGTTAAATTGTTAATAAATGATTGCTAATGCATTGATAAACATAATGTAGACGGATAGATAATACTTGTTAATGCTCAATAATCTGTTTCTCCATCTATGTTATATTTATAGATTCTTAATATAGTATAAGCGTTTTAATGTGTGTAATAATACACTTGTATGGGATAGTTTATGTGATCAGAATGTGATTGTTATCAGCCATGATTTATGAACAACACATTTTAAATCACAAAACGTAAAAGTAAAAAAAAACATAAATTGTTCCAATATATAGTGTCACATCTTTAATATTGTGGGAAGTGTTATGTTGTTTGTTTCTCATGCAACATGAAATACTTAACTTTGAATAAATACACCGTGTGCAAAGGAGATTGTTCTATACTTTTGTACAACCAAGAGAGTGCGAGCTGCCACTGAGGTAAGTCCCCAACAGCGGAGACTGTGGCTGCGAGGGAGTGCGGTCGTCTTTCAACCAGAAGGTTGTGGGTTCGATCCCAGCCCATAACTCAACATGTCGATGTATCCTTGGGCAAGATACTTAACCCTGAGTTGCTCCCGATGGCCAGCGGTGTGTGAATGTTAGGTCCTAGAGCAGGGGTGGGCAATTCTTTTTTCCATGGGGCCACATGAGAAACAAAAGATATTGTGGAGGGCCGGGCCAAAAGGCTGAACTCAATTCTGTATAATATTAATTGTATTTCTTTATAAAAAGCAGTAAATAGCATTGTTTTGACAAGCTGGTAAGAGTATATGTTATAGTTGAGCAATGAAAAGTGAGGTTGCCTTACAGAAAATGTAATTTATTCAATCAAATTTCCCAAAACAATGGTAAACAAAATGTTTTTCACCATTTCTGACTCATAGTGAACATTTTCAGTCGCATTCACTACAAAACACATTTTGAGTTTCATATACTGTTGGAAAGTTGTGTAAAGGTTCTTAGCATTCTTAAGACATCACAACATTGTCTTTGTGCTCCAAACATTCAGCAAGAGACATCATATTGAACATCACTGAACATCACTGAATGGTGATTTTGAGAAAAAGGCTTCCAAAGAAAGTGTCCCAGGTCACTGCTAGTTGGTGCCTTTACATGCCTACATGTGCAGTCTAACCACCTCATTTGGTGTTTTGAAGTTCTCTTTTCTTGTTCAGTGAGAGAAATCTAGTCTCTGCTGGGCTTTAACGAGTGCGTCAAAGTCAGGTTGAATGTCTGAGGTGGAGATGCAAAGCACAGCTGACAGATGATCATCAGTGAGAGAGGATCTATACCTGGATTTCATAAACTTCATCTTTGAACATGTTTGTTCACATATGTAGGTAGAGCCAAAGAGAACCAACATCTTCTGAGCATGTCTCCTCATGTTTGGAAAGTTCTCCTCCTCGAGAGAAGAGTAGAAATCCAGCAGAGATCCTGACTTAAAGCGCTCTACCAGTACTGCATCAGACTGCAGGTCGATGAGTTCCAGCTGAACATCACTGAGTGCATTATCCACACTGCAGGTAAAGGGAGAGGAGATCTTCAAATCACCTTAAACTCACCATGCAATGCTCCTACATGGATGAGTACCTGCGGAGGTGATCAGCTGATGGTGTGACTTCTTTCAGGGTCTGCATGTGAGTGAGAGTGTTGCTCTCCAGTTGGCTTGAAAGAAACTGCATCTTTCTCATGAAAGCCTTCACCAGGCTGTGCATTTCATGAACAAAAAGGCCCTTGCCCTGCAGTTCGGTGTTCAGCTCATTCATCAGTGCAGTCACATCAACAGCAAATGTAACATCTGCCATCCAGTCCTCATCTGAGAGCTCTGGGATGTCTTTGCCTTTCTTCTCACAAAACTCTTGAATCTCTGCTTTCAGGTAACGAACTCTTTTGAGCACTTTGCCCAGGCTGAGCCATCTGACAGCTGTGTGGTGCCGATGTCACGATGCTCAGTCTCATGCTCCTCCAAAAGTGCAACAAACTGTCTGTGATTCAATGCCCGTGCCCTGATGAAGTTTACTATTTTAGTAACAACCTCAATAACATGGTGAATTTTTAGCACTGACTTGCACAACACATGTTGGTGTATAATACAATGCAAAAATACCAATTTCTGATCTGCGTCGATTTCAGTCACTTTATCTTGCATACGTTTCAAAAGTCCAACATTTTTACCTGTAAGATTTGGACAACCGTCTGTTGTGACACCTGCCAGTCCGTCCCATTTCAGTCCCAGCGTGTCCATGCACGCATTTACCTCAGGTCGCTCCCTGTCATCGTCCCTTTCATCGGCCGCATTGCTGCCAGCTCCTCCGTAATCTTGAAGTCCAGCGTTATCCCACGGACAAATACGAGTAACTGCGCTGTGTCGCGGACATCACAGCTCTCGTCCAAAGCCAAGGAGATAAAGTCAAAACTTGCCACTTCACGTTGCAGCTGAAGCTCCAGATTCCCTGCAATGTCCTCGATCCTTCTCGTCACGGTTCGCCTGGACAGCGGGACTTGCTCAAAGGCTTATTTTTTTTCAGGGCATATTAGTGCTGCAGAGTCCACTAAGCACTCTTTGACAAACTCCCCCTCTGAGAATGGCTTACTGTGTTCAGCTATTTTGTGGGATATCACAAAGCTGGTCTTGGTTGCTGCATCCTTGGATGTGTGAAGCTTGGTAAAAAAGCCTTGCTGCTTTTGCAGCTTAGCTAGCAAAGCGTTCGATGTGCGCGCCCTTTCAGCATCAGTCAAGTTTTTGTATTTCTCCGCGTGTTTCGTCTCGTAATGCCGACTCAAATTGTAGTCCTTGAACACGGCGATCTGCTCCCCGCAAACTAAACACACGGCTTTACCTCCGACTTCAGTAAATAAATGCTTAGCAGTCCAATTTTTGATGAAAACCCTACATTCGGCATCTACCTTTCTTTTTTTAGCATGAGCTGACATTTTTGAGAGCTAAAGTCGTCTTGTGACAATGATCCAATAAGGCGCACGTCTTGATTTGACGTATTGCGTCATTATGTACGTGAATAAAAAACAACTTCAAAATAAAAGCATTGCAGCTTTAGTCCATGCATGAGGTAACATTAGAAAATATGTTTATTTTGTAATTTCCAATTAACCTTACACGGGCCAGTCAGAGTCAACCAAAGGGCCGTACAATGCCCAGGTCTGCCCTAGAGTAACATACACGGCTATGTATGAATGGGTGTGAATGAGTTAATGACATGTAGTATGTAAAGCGCTTTGAGGGGTCTTAAAGACTGGATAAAGCGCTATAAGTACAGTCCATTTACCATTTACCATTACCGACATAACCTGTAGACGGCCAAATGGAGATAGTTCTTGGAATGAGCAAATAGGGAGTTCTTAAAAAAAACATGTTACCTCAGGGACCAACAATGGGTCACAAGTCTTTGGGGCAGTGGAGTGCAAGGGTCATAGGTTGAGCTGTTTTCTTTGATGAACTCAAACATCAGATCAGAAGAATTCTCACTTTCAGGAAAGACTCTGGTTAAGGCAGGGCGTTGCGCCTGGGTAGAATGTGCAGGAGGTCTGATATAACGCACATTACGCTGATGTCACATAGTAAATCGTACTGTGGCCAGAAATAGCCAAGTGTGTTGCCTTTCCTTGAATTGATCTCATCCTTTTGTCCTGGGCCCTAACTCAAGAAATTACAATAAATCACATGCCATATAACTGTACTTTTAAGACATTTTGGAAAACAAAGTGCCGTTAAACATTAATCCAAATTCTGTGCAAGAGAAAGCTGCATCATTTTAAGTGAATCCCAAATTGACACTTGTCCAACAAGCAATGCCAACCTTGGACAATGAAATAAGAGAGGTAGCCAATCGTTACCTGCTTGATGACACACTATTACGTCACCCACGATATGACTACAGTACATCTTTTTAAAGTTGAGACAGAGGTTGAAGTCGGTCAGAAGACCGTGTGGTTACTTCAGGCACAGAAAGAGAAATTGAAGGTAATATTGAATTATTTTAAATTTCATTGTGGTTTACATTTTAGGAAACATATTTTTCTGGTAAGATCTTTTACTTACTTCTGTGACATGTCAGCATCCCCTTCATTTGTGTTTCATTCTTCAGGTTGATGGAAAACTACACTTTCAACAGCTTCGCCCTCCAGCTGGAGGGGTTAAAAGTCACGGAAACGTCAATGTACCCTCTATTTTTCTTTTTCTTTTTTTCTTACCTGTTTATCATGTTGGTTAACATTGGCATTGTAATTCTGATTTTCCTTGACAAAAACCTTCACCAGCCCATGTATCTACTTTTTTGCAACCTGCCTTTTAATGATATTCTTGGAAACTCTATCATGGTTCCCCGTTTGCTTTTGGACATGTTGAAGGCTCCCTCGGAACGCATCATCAGTTATCCAGAGTGTGTGGTGCAAGCATTTTCCACACATATGTTTGGTACCACCTCTCACACAGTGCTGATAATTATGGCTTTTGACAGATATGTGGCTATCTGTAATCCTCTGCGCTATGCTGCCATAATGACAAACAAGATGGTGATCAAGCTGACAGTTTCTGCCTGGGGAGTAGCCTTTGTTACGGTCGGGATTCTGCTCGGTCTGACCATACGCCTGAACCGATGCAGGACTATGATCACAAATCCTTTTTGTGACAATGCCTCTCTGTTCAAACTGTCCTGTGAGAGTGTGTTCATTAATAATGTCTATGGCCTCACGTTCACTGTAGTTCTGTTCACATCTTCAATCGGCAGCATGGTTATCACCTACAGTAAGATCACTGTGGTCTGTCTGATGAATAAAAGCAACAGTAAAGCCCTGAAGACCTGCAGCACTCATCTTTCTGTATATCTAATTATGATACTGAGTGGGTTTCTTATTATCATCCTGCATCGCTTCCCTCAGTACTCAGACTACAGAAAACTTGCTGCCATTTTATTCCATATCATCCCCGGCAGCCTGAACCCTATTATTTATGGAGTTCAGTCGAAAGAGATACGAACATTCGTATCACATATGTTTCAGCGTAAAAGAGTGTTGCCATCGTTGTAATGTTAATTCAAATGAATAAAGAATATATTTATACATAAGCAGAAATATGCCTGTATTTGTTAGTTTTTTTATGCATATTATTGGATCGGTCAAATTAGTACTCAAATGATAAACGATTCAAGACCTTTGAATTTCAGAACATTTACATCACCCCTCAATTTATTGAAATGAAAAGTTAATGAAACTATATTTATTAACCTAATGATAAGAAGTAATTAATCGTTGTAATGTTCTCTAAATGTCTTGAAAGGTTTTTTGTTGCGCACTACTTCAAGTTTATATACTATATCAAGTAGTTGTCAATGTTTGCCAAATGATTCGTAAATATCTATCAAACTAATTGGATGGAAATAAAATCTGTAACTTTATAAACATTTACAAAGTACTAACCTTCAAATTAAAAAAAGTTTTTGGATGCTTTAATATGTATAATAACCTTTTACCAAAGACTCAGTCTTAATAATGTTTATGGATGTATAAGCAACTAACTGTTTAAAAATGTATTATAACAATTCATTTTGAATATATGATCGCCATCCAAAAGAACCTTCAGAATTGTTTTTATATCAACAATGATTAGACACATAAGTGGACAACAGGTTTGTAACAATCTGTTCCTATGATAATAAGTTAGTTATTGATTTCCAGACCGCCTCTAAAGTTGATTATAAAGTTGCAACTGTACAAATGTAGCTTTCACTTTCCTGCTGCTAGAATGCAAGGAAATAGTAATTAAATTGTACTCTGAAAAGTCATGTAAAGGTTTGGATATTTGTTTTAAACTTCTGTGCATATTGTAAGTTTAAAAGATGGATATGAATTCCAGTTTAATGTAAGTATTAAAAAGACTATTCATATTACCTTACGTTATTATTGCTCCCTATGGTGGTTACAACACCATTGTTATATTTGAAGCTAATATGAAGGGGGGGTGGTTAGACCTGGGAATCACAATGATGATTAATAACAAGGGCCCCTGCCTCAACAAACCAATCTAACCCCAACTCCAATTTGTGGAAATGGCGTCACACAAAACAAATGTCAAAAATACACGTTTAGTAGAAAGGGAAATATTTATGGAGGGTCTTCTGTTGGTTACGGATTAAGTAACTTTATTACAACCAGTGTTTTTTGAGAATGACCAGAACTTTGAGCAGCAGGAAAAGGGAGCCCTCAGTCCTGCTTCCTTAAGCTCAGAAAGGCTTTGAAGATTAAGTCTCTTATCTCATGCTTATTTGGAAAAGTTTAGACTACTCTTCAAGTACTTTTATAAATAAAGGTTATTATTAGGATCGCGATTCTTGGTGAGGCAAAGTATGACCTCCCGAATCCATCTGTTGAATCTGATATTCATTTTACAAACATAAGACACAACAATTATTGATATTCATTTATTATATTTTTAATAACTGAAGACGTACCATGAACAGAGATTCAGAACAAAATAGAGTTCACCATTGTAACAATTACAAACAACAAACAAATAATTGTATAAAAGCACACGTTTTTTAAAGTTTATTTTGCTTCTAAACAAATAGAAAAACAGATTACAGAAGCATAACAGGCGTGACCATTTAAAATAACCATCATTTAAAATGTTGCATTGATAATCTTTATATCTTGATGAATGACAATATATACCATTTACATATTATTCATAATTCATGTTTTTTCATCATTAGTTTGTGTAATATGAAACACAAATTGTATTTTATCATACCTGATAATAGGTTATCACAAATGTGAGCAGCTGTCACATTACACATTTTTGTATACAATATTAAGTATTAGTACCAAATAATTTCTAAAACATCATTTAACATAACAGACATTGGTGGACCTGAAACTATTTATTAACAATCAATAATGTTTGGTCAGTCTTGATGTTTTAGCGAATATAATTAACCATTTACGATATTATAACCATTAAATGTTGCATCTTTATAAAAGCCATCCAAATATTGTTATAGATGTTTACAATACAATTCCATGAGGTTAACACATCATTTCGTATTGATAAATTACATTATATGTTCAAAAATGACCATAAATTAAAGCATTACTCAAATAAAAAGAGTTATAGTTTCATTGTTTTCTACAAGTAAATTAAATATTAAAAACAGTTTGGTTAACTATTGATTTGATCACAGTAACGTTAAGTTCATCCATGTATATGCTTAAAAACACAGACAAGCACACTGCTTCTTATATAAATGCATGTATATTTAGTTTGCTTCTGTTAATTTGTATTGGAATTAAAATGATGGCAAAACCTTTTTATGCTGAAATAATTGTGACAGGAATTTTCGTATCTCTTTCGACTGAACTCCATAAATAATAGGGTTCAGGCTGCCGGGGATGATATGGAATAAAATGGCAGCTAGTTTTCTGTAGTCTGAGTACTGAGGGAAGCGATGCAGGAGGATAACAAGCATTCCACTCAGTAACATCATTAGATATACAGAAAGATGAGTGCTGCAGGTCTTCAGGGCTTTACTGTTCAAAGACTTGTTTTTATTCATCAGACAGACCACAGTGATCTTACTGTAGGTTATTAGAATACTGCCGATTGAAGATGTGAAGAGCACTACAGTGAACGTGAGGCCATAGACATTATTAATGAACACACTCTCACAGGACAGTTTGAACAGAGAGGCATTGTCACAAAAAGGATTTGTGATCAAAGTTCGACATCGGTTCAGGCGTATGGTCAGACCGAGCAGAATCCCGACCGTAACCAAGGCTACTCCCCAGGCAGAAACTGTCAGCTTGATCACCATCTTGTTTGTCATTATAGCAGCATAGCGCAGAGGATAACAGATAGCCACGTATCTGTCAAAAGCCATAATCATGAGCACTGTGTGAGCAGTGGTACCATACATGTGTGTGGAAAAAGCTTGCACCAAACACTCTGGATAACTGATAAGGCGTTCAGAGGGAGGCCGCAGTATATCTATGAGCAAACGAGGAACCATGATGGAGTTTCCAAGAATGTCATTGAAGGGCAGGTTACAGAAAAGTAGATACATGGGCTGCTGAAGGTTTTTGTCAATAAAAATCAGAATTACAATGCCAACATTCACCAATATAATAATAATGTAAGAAAAAAAGAAAAAGAAAAATACAGGGTACATTGACGTTTCTGTGACTTTTAACCCCTCCAGCTGGAGGGCGAAGCTGTTGAAAGTGTAGTTTTCCATCAACTTGAAGAAAGAAAACACAAAAAAGGGGGATACTGATAAGTCACAATAGTTATTAGATCTATTCAATACAAGTCAGACCATTTCAAATGTAAATCCGGGAGAAACTTAAAAGCATTATATTACCTTTAATGTATTCCCCCGTGCCTGTAGTCACCAAACAGCAACCCTTCTTCTGACAGAAGACTACAACCTCCGACTTTACTTTTAAAGAGAAGTTCTGCAGTCATTTTGTGGGTGATGTAACCTCAAGGGATCAAGCTGACATCAGGGTAGTTATATATTATAATGTGCCTCCTGCACGCTCTAAACCAGACCCAGTATATCCAGACACTCAGAATGCTTTTACTTGGATAATATGTTGTTTTGTTCTTAATTTGTGAAAAGGAATTTCTGACAGTGTGCGCAAAAGAGACTTTGTAAACATTTTTAAACTTGAGAACACGGTTGTTGGAGGTAACAGGGCCTAGAAAAATACATTCTTAGTCACTATTGTTGCAAGATCTATCTCCGTTTGGCCATCTAGGGGTAGAGTCTAGAAAGGCATTTCGCCCACTTGTATCCACAATCTTGTTCTCTCGCTCATGACCCATCCTTCACGACCAAAGGTGAGGGCAGGAACAAAAATTGACCGGTAGACTGAGAGCTTGGCCTTCAGGCTTCGTCACAACAGTTTCCTCACTCGAGAACAAGACCCTTAGGCCCTAGCCACACGGAAACAATACTATTAAATCCACGTAAATTACACATCACAGCAATGAGGCCAGATAAATTAAACCAGGATACATCCTTTACCGTCAAACTGGATCTAAACACAGCTGCCTGTGAGCGTTTGATAAATACTTTCTGATGTTTTATTTATTATATGCTACTTATCAGCTACATGGCCCTAACGTGTAATGTTATACAAGCATTTGTACCAGTGCTTTTCACAAGTAGACTCTTGCAGGCCAGAGTAGCTGGAGTGAGTCAACAACAACACAAAGACATATGAGAAGTGATCAGGACGAAGAAGAAGAGGAAAAGAGAGATGAAGAGACCAGGAGGGTCAGAGCAGGAGGAAGAGGAGGAGATGAAGAGAGCAGGAGGGTCAGAGCAGGAGGAAGAGGAGGAGATGAAGAGAGCAGGAGGGTCAGAGCAGGAGGAAGAGGAGGAGATGAAGAGAGCAGGAGGCTCGGAGCAGGAGGAAGAGGAGGAGATGAAGAGAGCAGGAGGGTCAGAGCAGGAGGAAGAGGAGGAGGGTCAGAGCAGGAGGAAGAGGAGGAGATGAAGAGAGCAGGAGGGTCAGAGCAGGAGGGTCGGAGCAGGAGGAAGAGGAGGAGGGTCAGAGCAGGAGGAAGAGGAGGAGATGAAGAGAGCAGGAGGGTCGGAGCAGGAGGAAGAGGAGGAGATGAAGAGAGCAGGAGGGTCGGAGCAGGAGGAAGAGGAGGAGATGAAGAGAGCAGGAGGGTCAGAGCAGGAGGAAGAGGAGGAGATGAAGAGAGCAGGAGGGTCAGAGCAGGAGGAAGAGGAGGAGATGAAGAGAGCAGGAGGGTCAGAGCAGGAGGAAGAGGAGGAGATGAAGAGAGCAGGAGGGTCGGAGCAGGAGGAAGAGGAGGAGATGAAGAGAGCAGGAGGGTCGGAGCAGGAGGAAGAGGAGGAGATGAAGAGAGCAGGAGGGTCGGAGCAGGAGGAAGAGGAGGAGGGTCAGAGCAGGAGGAAGAGGAGGAGATGAAGAGAGCAGGAGGGTCGGAGCAGGAGGAAGAGGGGGAGATGAAGAGAGCAGGAGGGTCGGAGCAGGAGGAAGAGGAGGAGATGAAGACATTAGTGAAGAAGAAGACATGTATGTGAGGAAGAGGAGGTGTCAGAGAGAGGGCCAGAGGCAGGGCTCAGGAGGCAGAGGAGACTCCAGCTGGACCACATGGTGTGTTCTTGTTCTCCTTACATGTTCCATCACAGCAGCTCACTCTAGCAGCTCTTAGTACGAACACATGTTGAGATGTGTTGCTGCAGCTCACCTTCAGCTCTCTGAGAGATGGGTGATGTCATTTGTGTACTTCATTATAACTAAGTACTGTACTTACAGTAAACAGAGTTCTAGGTATCATGAGTACTTTCTGCTGTTTTATACTATATGTTAGTTTGTTTGTCTGAACACCTTGTTTCTCTTGTGCTTTAAGAACACTTGTGTTAGGCCGTGATTTAACAATAAATAGGTTATACAGTATAAAATACCACCTACTGTCCACCCTCCCATGCCACCCTGGCATGACCTCTTGCCCCCCCTTTGCCACCCCATGTGAAATGTTCTAGAACCGCCACTGCCTTAGGATCCATCCCGAGTAGACAGTGCAACTGTTTCCGGCTGAGAACCATGGCCTCAGATTTGGAGTTGCTGATCCTCATCAGCGACTCAAAGTGACTGCAATGGAGCATGAGATGGTCCCGCAAGTATCAGGGCAGTCGGAGCGGTATTGCAGAAGCTTGACCGGACCGTTGTAACGAAGATACTCGGCTTGGAACCGATCCAGTGAGGTCGCAGACTGATGAAGCCATCAGAACCACATCATCTGCATAAAGCACCCTACATTCCTAGTTCACTTAATACACATTTGGGCTTACCAGGTTTGTCCAGAGGCTTCCCCTGGCACTCGACCCAACTCATCACCAGATGCTGATCAGTTGACAGCTCCCCCTCTTCACTCGAGTGTCCAAAACATACAGCCTTATGTTCGTACATGTTTGTCATGGCCAATCCATGACTAGCACAGAAGTCCAGTAACAAAGCACCGCTTGAGTTCAGATCAGGGGGGCCGGTCCTCCCAATCATACCCCTCCAAGTGTCTCCATCATTGCCCACATGTGCGTTGGAGTCTCCAAGCAGGACTAAGGAGTCCCCCTTTAGGAGCTCCATAGTCGTGCGAAGCTCTTTCAACGGTCTCCAAGAAGGCTGAATACTCTGAATTACTGTTTGGTGCATAAGCACATACAACAGTCAGAGTTTTACCCCACATAACCCGCAGGCGTAGGGAGGCAACCACTTTCGTCCACTAGGGGAAACTCCTACAAAGCGGCACCCAACCGGGGGCTTGTGAGTATCCCCACACCCGCCTGGCGTCTAACACCTTGGGCAACTATGGAGAAGAAATAGAGTCCAATCTCTATCAAGGAGTATGGTTCCAGAGCTGACGCCATGCTTAGCAGTTAAATTAGCATCAATTACATAAATGATATATATTTAAACTTTTAAATCTTTTTAAAAGGTTGCTTTTTCGGGAATATAAACACAAGTTTATTTAATGTTGTAAAAGAGCATTCACTACCAGAATCTGGTTCAGGGTCTTATTATGATATAAAGGGCTGTTCCGGAATCTCAGGCCTAACGCACCTGCTTCACTTCAATGTTGTGCTTCAATCCTGCCAACTGATATTAAATAAATAAACAGAAAAAAATCAACTTTTACTTTGCATTTCAAAGTTAAATGCATCAATGTGATGTATTTTAGATACAAATGAAGTAATGCCTCATATCACAGCATACCATATACAGTCTTATCAGGGTATCGTGTCCCATTGCTATGCACTGTAACTATGACATATTATTTCATAAATAAAAAGACTGGGTTAATACCATTTGATATGTTATATACTTTACATCAGAAAAACCGAAAAACATGCACAGGTTTAGTGTCTATTATTATGTGTATGATTACCATCACTATGGACACATGGGTGATGCTGCGAGTCACCTGTTACTAAGTGACAGCTGACTTCCAGGTAAAAGCCTCCAGGGCACTGAATAAAAGTGCTGCAGCTTTTACAAGTTGGGTCTTAGGTGGAGGGGGTGCAACAAGATAATGCTTACGCCTCACTGCAGCTGGAGATGTTATGTGTGTAAATGTACCTCAGCAATATGTAGCTATTCTTTGATAACAGCGTGTGTCCTTTATTTGCATTGTACAAAGTCCTTGATGTAGGGGTCGATTCAATCTGCTCTTAAGACATCAAAAATAAGATTTGGAAAAGCTTTAATATTAATATGCAATACTCCAGGTAAGATATTGCTCTTGATTACAGTACTAATGACATGTCTTGAAATATGTTGCCTTGTATTAATCTTCATCAGAACTGTACATGCTTCTAACCTGTGTTGTCTGTTGTGTGTCTGAATGGCCATCCATGGGATCAGGGTATCCAGGGTTAGGGCTAGCTGCAGAAACACTGAACTATTGTGACAATTGTGAAGAAACTGAAATATTTATGATGAAGACGAGAGTATAGAGTGTAATAAGAAGACTATACATATATCAACATTGTAATATGATGTCAGATTTAGTGTTGTATTGTCCTGTTGTTTAATGTCTGCATTACAATAACGTGATGTCTCTTTTCTAGCTTCTACCTATTAAGTCATTGTGTCCACATGACTGATTCTTTACACTGAAAGCTGCAATAGTTAACCATAGAATACGCAATGTTGATATAAGGTATTTGGTAATATATATCCAGTATATTTAATGTAGTACATGTCGCTCAGCCCATTCCTGTTTGCTTTGTAAAACCTTTTTGTTGTTATCAGAAACTTTGCAGGGACAAATGCAGTTTTACATAGACATGGAAAACTTGACTCTGAATGAGGACATTCTCCTCCTGGAGGGGTTGAAGATCTCCCCCCAGTCCACCATCCCCTCCTTCATCTTCCTCCTCTTCATCTACATCTTTGCTCTGGTGTCTAACATCACGCTGGTGGTGCTGATCTGTACGAGCAGCAGCCTGCACCAGCCCATGTACCTGCTGTTCTGCAACATGAGTATTAATGACATTTTTGGGGCTACGATTGTCACACCGCATGTTCTCCGTGACATTTTCATTCCTCAACCAGAGCGCTACATCCATTACATCGACTGCGCCTTCCAGGCCTTCTGTGTTCACCTCTATGCAGGCACCTCTCACACCGTGCTCATGATCATGGCGTTTGACCGCTACGTGGCCATCTGCAACCCGCTGCGCTACGCCGCCATCATGACCCACAGGATGGTGCTGGGTCTGTCGGTGTGGGCGTGGGCGACCACATTCATTGGCGTCACGATTCTCATCGGCCTCAGCGTGCGTCTGTCTCGCTGCAGGAGGGTGATACCCAACCCGTACTGCGACAACGCCTCCTTGTTCAACCTCTCCTGCGAGAGCGTGCTCATCAACAACATCTACGCCCTCGGATACACCGTGGTCATCCTGGGATCCTCCGTGTGTAGCATCACGCTCACCTACCTGAAGATCGCCATGGTGTGTCTGCGCAGTAAGAACAAGGCTCTGAACAGCAAAGCGCTGCAGACCTGCGCCACTCACCTGGCCATGTACGTCTTCATGCTGGCGTCCGCCCTCATCATTATCACCCTGCACCGCTTCCCTCAGATGTCGGACTACAGGAAGGTGGTGTCTGTTTTATGTGAAGCCACTTTGCCTGCTTTCAACGCCGTCATCTACGGGCTGCAGATAAAACAGATAAAGCAGAGGATTGCCACTTTGTTTTACAGCAGACTTGTAGTTCAAATTAAATAAACTGATAACGCTTCTGTAGGTATCATGCTGAAAGGGCACTGTTGTTGTAAATAAAAACATTTTTCATTAAGGTGTTGAAAGATAAATAGGGTTGTCATCATCAATAAACTTGTCAGTCATGGAAATATTTTTCAGAGAATCATGCATATTAATAAACAGCACCTTTTAAATGTCAGGAGAGTGAATGCATTATCAAAGTGACAAGATGAAATCAGCCTAGTTAAGAGATATTGGATTAAAATGTAGTTGAGTAACAGATTTGCAGAGTTAAAACAAATATTTATTTAGAATGATAAATTATATTGACCATAATCTGGGGAAATTGCCTTTTTCATCACATCTTAGTTACAATGTATTCTTTTGAAGAAGTCATGTTTGGTTGTCAAACCTTTTCAGGATTGTTTAATGATGAAGGTTTCAGCAAATGCAGAAAAACAAAACACTAAACGATATCTTGAAGTTCCCAGCTAAGTCCTTCAGTGAAAGCATCAAGTATAGAAAATCCTGGATTCAAAACTTATTTTAAAGTAAAGTTAAACTACTATAGGTAGTAAATTATTAGTGTAAGAGAATATTTTCATCTGATCTGTTTATAGAGTTTCTTATTGTTTTATAGAATCTGTGATACTGCAAACATCTGCTTGTAGTCAGTCAAAGACTCCTGTGTAGGTTGAGGCTTGTCTGGATCTCTTTGAGACAAGTAGACTATTGTCTCACATCTGCTACTAATTAGGTATACGCGGGCTTTCTGGGAGCCCGCCTCTCCTCGTGTTGGTTAGATGTTTTGTGTCTTTTGGTTCAGAGATTACCTTGGTGGAGCACAAGGACAGTGTGAAACTAGGATGATTTCCCGGCCGTATGTAATTGTCTGTCTCTCAATAAATATCAGTGTATTGACAGGCGAGTCCAGTTTCCCTCATTTGATGATGCGCTCAACATTGCTGCAAAGAAGTTTTAACTTCACAATTAGCATTATCAAATATTCCTTGATAGTACCCCATTTCAGAATAATATATGTTATAAAACTACCACTATTTAAATGTTTGACACATTAGGTAATAATAATAATAATTCCTTACATTTATTATAGCGCTTTTTCAATGACTCAAAGCGCTTTACATATACACACATTACACATTACATGCAATGGTCAGATACTGTGGACAATACCCACAGGAGCAAGTTCAGGTGAAGTGTCTTGCCCAAGGACACACCGGCTTTACAGACGCAGCAGCGGGTTTCACCCCTTGATCTGATGATCATTGCACAGCGCACTGCGCCACACCGTCCATCTTCACGCCTCGAGGTCATCGAGGCGCTTTTACAAGTACACATTGGTATTATACATGTACTGTGGACAATACCCAGGTAAAGGTGCTTTGTTCATCAGTTTAATGTTGCATATGAACAAAATATGTAAAACAACATAATGACTTTTAAAGGGCCTTGATTGCACTCACACACCCTTTCCAATAGTGTACAATTGTGTTTAATGCTGATGTACACCCAGAACCACGTATATCTGCATATCCATGAGAATCCATATCCATGTACAATTTTACTTGTGTATATACATATTGCAGGCCTATATTGAATTGTATAATCCAATGGTATTTATTTTTCGGATTATGTCAGAAAATAATCTGTGTCAAACAAACGTGTATGATTCTTAAACATTTAGTTAAGCGTGATAATTTCCACATATTAACACCACTTTACCACACCTCACCACCGCTAAGCTAAAGGTGGCTAATGTTGGGCTATAAAGGAACTACAGCACGGTCACATGACTTCACGTCACCACCGCTAAGCTAAAGGTGGCTAATGTTGGGCTATAAAGGAACTACAGCACGGTCAGATGACTTGACGTCACCACCGCTAAGCTAAAGGCGGCTAATGCTGGGCTATAAAGGAACTACAGCACGGTCACATGACTTCACGTCACCACCGCTAAGCTAAAGGTGGCTAATGTTGGGCTATAAAGGAACTACAGCACGGTCACATGACTTCACGTCACCATCGCTAAGCTAAAGGTGGCTAATGTTGGGCTATAAAGGAACTACAGCACGATCACATGACTTCACGTCACCACCGCTAAGCTAAAGGCGGCTAATGCTGGGCTATAAAGGAACTACAGCACGGTCACATGACTTCACGTCACCACCGCTAAGCTAAAGGTGGCTAATGTTGGGCTATAAAGGAACTACAGCACGGTCACATGACTTCACGTCACCACCGCTAAGCTAAATGTGGCTAATGTTGGGCTATAAAGGAACTACAGCACGGTCACATGACTTCACGTCACCACCGCTAAGCTAAAGGTGGCTGATGTTGGGCTATAAAGGAACTACAGCACGGTTAAATGACTTCACATCACCACCGCTAAGCTAAAGGCGGCTAATGTTGGGATATAAAGGAACTACAGCACGGTCACATGACTTCACGTCACCACCGCTAAGCTAAAGGCAGCTAACATTAGGCTATAAAGGAACTACAGCACGGTCACATGACTTCACGTCACCATCGCTAAGCTAAAGGTGGCTAATGTTGGGCTATAAAGGAACTACAGCACGGTCACATGACTTCACGTCACCACCGATAAGCTAAAGGTGGCTAATGTTGGGCTATAAAGGAATTAGAGCACGGTCACATGACTTCACGTCACCACCGCTAAGCTAAAGGCGGCTAACGTTAGGCTATAAAGGAACTACTGCACGGTCACATGACTTGACGTCACCATCGCTAAGCTAAAGGCGGCTAATGTTGGGCTATAAAGGAACTACAGCACGGTCACATGACTTCACGTCACCACCGCTAAGCTAAAGGCGGCTAACGTTAGGCTATAAAGGAACTACAGCACGGTCACATGACTTGACGTCACCATCGCTAAGCTAAAGGCGGCTAATGTTGGGCTATAAAGGAACTACAGCACGGTCACATGACTTCACGTCACCACCGCTAAGCTAAAGGTGGCTAATGTTGGGCTATAAAGGAACTACAGCACGGTCACATGACTTCACGTCACCACCGCTAAGCTAAAGGTGGCTAATGTTGGGCTATAAAAGGAACTACAGCATGGTCATATGACTTCACGTCACCACCGCTAAGCTAAAGGTGTCTGATGTTGGGCTATAAAGGAACTACAGCACGGTTAAATGACTTCCAGTGCATGACATTAAGGATTTTGGGAGATGGCCCTGTGGGCCATCTACGCTAATTTACAGATGGCCCTGAGCCCAATAGAGATTGCCCTGAAAAATGCGCGCGGACAAAATGACGCACGAAGGGTTTGGGGGGCCTCCCCCTAGAACATTTAGATTGTTGCAGGTCTTAGATGCTGTCTGGTGCATTCTCTAGACTGAATTATAAGATGAACCACCACAATATTATATTGTACAATTTCAATTTTATTTTTAATTTCATTTGTTTGTTTGTTCTTGTTTGTGTTTGCTCGCTTGCATGCCCTGCATAGCTTTAAGAAATACTTAAGTTGTTGGTCAAGACACTTTCCATCTGATGAAGGCAAATGCCTTCCCAGATGTAAAAAAAGTAGAAAACATTACATTCAGTTATAACTGCCAAAACAAACATTATTTACACTATTATGGCCCCTGTTAAAAATATTTGTAATGTTATCTAAATTGGTCGAACGAATGCCTCCTCATCCGGAAGCTGACCGAGCAGACCCGAGCAGCAGTCGAGAGGAGCCGAGCGCATCCGCGAAGCACACAAAATGGCGACGTCAGAGTTCCCGTTAGCCGGCAAATCTAAATATCTTCGGTCAAAATAATTTCCCTTTAGCGCAATACCGCTTCAGTTGCGCCACTTATGTGACAGACAAGAAGAGTATGTGACAGACAAGAATAGTCAATTCTAATGTCTAACACTTAATGTGGAGAAAGAGATGTCCTGTATTGGTTGATTGTGCGTTGATCTGTTGGTAATGCCTCGGGGTTCCGGTGGGCATGTAAACAAATGCATAATGCTGCGCTATACTTTGTGGCCTCACCCGGTTGCATAGCGACACTTATTGTTTAGGTGTCTTTTAATAAGCAGGTAGTCATATCATTAGCTAGAACTAGCTGGATCTGATCGATATGGACATAAACGCGAGTGAAGTCTAATCTGACGGGAGAGAGAGATCAGCTGCTGCTGACGAGTCGACACGCAGCTCTGCATGATCACATGCAGCGGTGAGCGGACAAAACACACACTTTAGGTTAGAATATCACACGTAGCTATTTTAATTACCTCTCAAACTACCTAAACTAGTTATAGATAAGTTTAGTTTTACTGTCGGGTCTCTCATTACTGGATCCGCGAGCTGCATGATACTGGCATAATAGATTGCCCGATCGGGCAACCAGCAGGTGAGGCTTCATTGCCCGAGCTAAATACTAGATGGCCCCAGGCCATCGGGCAGTCCTTAATGTCGAGCCCTGACTTCACATCACCACCGCTAAGCTAAAGGTGGCTAATGTTGGGCTATAAGGGAACTACAGCACGGTCACATGACTTCACGCCACCACCTCTAAGCTAAAGGCGGCTAACGTTATGCTATAAAGGAACTACAGCACGGTCACATGACTTGACGTCACCATCGCTAAGCTAAAGGCAGCAAATGTTGGGCTATAAAGGAACTACAGCACGGTCACATGACTTCACGTCACCACCGCTAAGCTAAAGGTGGCTAATGTTGGGCTATAAAGGAACTACAGCATAGTCATATGACTTCACGTCACCACCGCTAAGCTAAAGGTGGCTAATGTTGGGCTATAAAAGGAACTACAGCACGGTCACAGGACTTCACGTCACCACCGCTAAGCTAAAGGTGGCTAATGTTGGGCTATAAAAGAACTACAGCACGGTCACATGACTTCACGTCACTACCGCTATGCTAAAGGTGGCTAATGTTGGGCTATAACAGGAACTACAGCACGGCCATATGACTTCACGTCACCACCGCTATGCTAAAGGTGGCTGATGTTGGGCTATAAAGG